CTCTCTCTCTCTCTCCCTCTCTCTCTCTCTCTCTCTCTCTCTCTCTCTCTCTCTCTCTTTCTTTTATTGTGTTTGCTTACTAATGGTGTTTATTTTATTTTTATTGTTGTTGATGAAGTATATGTGAAATTGAGAGGCTATTGAAGATGAAAATGTATCTGAGGGTCAATTTTATGATAATGAGTAGCAGTTAGGCATTCAGCAGATGTTTATGTGTGTAATTTGTGTATGTATCACACATTCCAGTATTATCTCTGTTTGTAGAGGGAAGTGTATGGAAGAGAAGTTTGAAATAGATATTGTTATTGTATGTTCATTCAAGATATAATTTTTGGTTAGTGTATTCCGACACCTGTATTAAACGGCATGTCTGAATTAAGTAGCTTGGCATTGGCAGGTGTGACCTGTCTTTGAACACCTGTGAAAACAAGTGTTATTGCACCTGTGTAAAGGGGAAGGAATTCACAGATTTGCTCCATAATTGATAATACTTATGCTATTGCAAGACAGCAGGTGAAATCTTTGAAATTCCTCTGATATGCTTTTTATTTAAGGCTGAAGAGGCATGAGTTACATTGAATATGCTGTTCAGAATGTATTTTCATTTTAAACTCAATGCGTGGCTGATATTTAGCCAAGTCATTAAATCTCCTTATATGATACTAGAGAAAATCTAAAATGGCTGTTTATACTACACTACCAAAAATATGTAGTTTCTCTGCTTGGTGAGATATTTATGTTGATTGGTAAAAAAAACTCAGGGGAATAGGGGGAGGGAAAGGAAGAAGGGTAGCGAGGGGAGAGTGACAGGGACTTATGTTGATTAGTAAAAAAAGATAAGGGAAAAGGGGGAGAGAAGGGGCAGATACAGAATAGGTATACCCAATGTTCATATATTATGACCAAACTTTGATAAGGTATTGATGATGAAATTTGAGAGTCCTATTTTTAACAGCCTGACCTGATCATCCGATATACAATTAAGGCATTGAAGCTGAAACGTGCATTCCTTTGCCTTATTGAACATATTTATGAAAGTAATGAAAAGCAACAAGTTTCTGAATTTAGGTAGGGTTTAAGAAAAGGTGGAAACTGGAAGTGAATAAAAATTTGTATGCATTTTGCTGCATTTTTAAAATGGATCATTCTCATCCAATGTCTTGCGTAAAGGGTTGTGTAGGTTTTGGATATAAATGAATGGATAAATGAATCAATTAAGCAAATTGAAAATATATTTATAATGTTGTAGGAGTGTTACAAATAAAACTTTATTGACATTATATCCTTATTTTCTTCCAGTGGGAATGTTGTAATAGAGACAAAATTCTTCGACGATGACCTTCTTGTGTCGACGTCAAAAGTGCGCCTCTTCTACGTATAGAATGCACAACCGAGCCAGCGAGAGTTCCTATAGGGGTAGGGAGGTGACGCAGTGCCATTCTCTCGTCTGAGTATTCCCATGGAGTTTTGGACTCACCCCTCGGCTGCATTTATGGTGATTTATTTCATCCCATTGGCTTTGAATCTTTATCATCCTTATTTTGTTGTTTCGCAATATCGTCATTACTGATGATATAATTATTAACCTTGTTACTGTTTTTACTATTTTCATTCATTATTTTTTTGTCTTACCACACGTGTGAGAAAATTGTTCATCATATTTGGTGAAGGGGAACAATTATTATTTTTTACATCTCAAGAGAAATATGGATAGATAGATTTTTTTTTTTTCAAATTTATGAGAAAGCACTGACATTTATTATAAAAAGCATTTATTTTTTGTATGTAGGAGTATGATATACTATCTTTGAAGTTTTTAAGAGATACAAGGAAAGCTATATATATATTCACTACAGAAAAAATGTGTTTTCAGGAAGGCAAAAAAAACACAGTAAGGAAAGGCAGGATAGATGCATTATAAAAAAAAAGAAAAAAAGAAAAAAAAAAAAGCCAGGAATGGTAGAGATGGATTTGTTATAAAAAAAAATGGATACAGTCATGAACAGCAGAGATGGATATGTTCTGTAGATGTGGAAAAAACGTGCAGTCAGAAATGGCAGAGATAGATAAAATTTTTAATGTAAATATTGGCTAAAAGCAATTGAATTGAGAGTCCCGTATCATTATTATTTTTATTATTATTATTATTTTTTAATCTCTCTGCTGTACAAAGAAGTAAATCATCCCATGTGATGGAAAGGCAGGAGAGAGAGAGATATAAT